CGCCTCCTGGGTTCAGGCAATTCTCCTGCCTCAACCTCCTGAGTAGCTGGGATTACAGGCACACGCCACCATGCCCAGCTAATTTTTTGTATTTTTAGTAGAGACAGGGTTTCATCATGTTGACCAGGATGGTCTCGATCTCTTGACCTCGTGATCCACCCGCCTCGGCCTCCCAAAGTGCTGGGATTACAGGCGTGAGCCACCGCGCCCGGCCTTCAGGTGTTTTTAATCTAATTTTATCTAATGCCTCTTCCTTGTACCAGCAGTGGCCAATTGTTATTTTAGAGAGACAGTTTAATAATCATCTGACCCTCACCTGATGGTTGTCTGACATTCCTGGTGGTGATGGGCAGGGATGGGGGGACCCTCTTCTGCCCTGCTCCTGTCTGACTAGCTATCTACTGTAACACTTTCACTCTTTTTTCGGTAAGAGCATTTATCTCTGAGGCAAGAGGTAGAAGCTACTTCCTTTGCCCCTAGGCTAGAAGTGTCCCTTCAAAAGCAACTGACCCTCTCAGGGGAAGAAGGCTTAGTTTTCATCATCCTTACAATTGCCCTATTTCTGCACTTCACTGACCGCACAAATCCCTTGGGCTCACCTAACAGACACATGTGACTGTATCTATAATAGGTTCATTGCCCATTGCACAAAGCAAGTCAATACGCTGAGAGGCCAGGATGCAGAAGAGTAAGAGGTTTAATCGCAGGGTCACCGAATGAGGAGACAGGAAGAAACTTTAAATCTATCTCCTTGTGGCATTTGGGGCTAGGGTTTTTAAGAGTTTTGGAGTGGGCCAACGTGTTGGAGATGGCTGACTGGTTAAAGAGTGCAGGGCAAAGTCATGCGACAAGATGAAGCTGTATTTTTATGCTGATCCCCTCTCTTTGTGGGGGTTTTCAAACTGAAATGTGGTAGAACTGGGGACATGAAAAACGACTTAAGTGATTCTTAAACAAAAGCATTATGATTGTAATATCAGACGTCCTATCTAAAGGAAAATAGGGATGCAAATCAATTCCTACACAGTCTTATGACCCTAACATCAGAAATCCTGTCTATCGGAATGATTCGGATCTAGTGCTATGTGACTTGGAGCCACACAGAAATGGGCCAAGGTGCAGCCTCATTAATGCTGAATTATAACTATATTTCTGTCCAGAACCCAGCATGCAATTCTTGTCAACCCTGTGAGGGTGGTTTCCTGACTCTCAATGGCCTACCAGTTTCCACCTAGTAGGGTGAACCTGCCTTGCCTATCATTTTCCTTGTAATAAGTTCATTCTCCTTGCCAGGGAGTGGTATATAGGTAGGTGACAAGTGAGACTTCAGGAAACTGCTATGGGAGCCTCTAGGGCAAATTATTTGCTCCTAAGAGAGACAAACAGGAAAAGATAGTCTTTTCTTATCTAGAATGTTATCAGTCCTTAGTGGATTGATGCCTGGAACTCCAGATGTCCTTGGAAAACTAAGCCCAGGGTAAACTAATTGATGCAGATGTGAAATCTGTTCAAGTGACCTCTAGCAAGTCACTGCAAGCAGTTGAATATAAAACAGACAGTTGCAGGAAAAGAGCAATTTGCAGAATAATGTGTAGTATGATCTCATTTATGTAGCCAGATAGATGTAAATACATAGAGAAGCACTGAGAAGCGCTGCAGGAATGTTGGCAATGGTTACTCTGGAAGCCACAGGAATCAGGCTTTCAACATTGTATTCTATGTACATTTGTACAATAGTAGGTATTGCTTATGTCATTTTCTAAACATTTTAATTTTTATGAGTACACATGGCTTCCCCTTTATTTGAAATGTATACTAGATGATCAAAGCATTCTTCTAGGAGAAAATACGTTTTTGTGGCCAAAAAAATTCTTTAGGTTATTTTTGGTTTTTAGGGGGTTGCCTCCATCTCACAGCTTAATTATCAGTCACATTAACCTTGCAGCTCAGCATGTCCTCTGTTTGTCAGCAGACCTTCCTCTCCCACAGGGTGAGCCATAGAAAGCTATGGGTATTGGTTCAGTTTGCCTAGGGTCAGGGTCTGAATTGTGAAGTGGAACATGTTGATAAACCTCTTCTCCAAAATCAGGTCAGTGGGCATTTGGCTGATATTAGCAGTATGCTGGCTGACCATGCGGGGTGTCCAGAGATGAGTGAAGCGCAGGATGTATCTCCAGGCAATGAAGCACAAGTGTACAGCCTGCCTCAGAGAATGGGCTGTGGTCCCCACATTAGAACAACCTGCCAGTGACCACATTAGAACCTCCATTGTTAAAATGCAGGTTCCGAGCCCGATTCCAGATCTGAATCACAATTTCTGAGCTTCAGCCCCAAGAACCTGAATTTTGTTATTATATGCAGATAAAGTACAAGAACTGCTTCCTCCGTGTGTGAACTGGACTTACCAAAACAGTCAGTCCCATGGGGCAGAGATGGACAGATGCCAGTTCCTCTTTCTCATCCTAGATGCTCAGAGTCAAATCCGTGGCTCAGCTATAGCCAAGTGATTTCACTGTGGAAGGACAATTCAGAACCCTGTTCCCGGCTCCTCACATTGATTCTCTCCGTCTTCTTCCACTCCTTTCTGTCATCTTTGATGTCCCCTTGTGAGCAACCAAAAGACCTTCTGGGACATGACAGGATAAAAAATAAATAAGTATAAGCAGCCATTCATTAAACATTTAGCCAGAATGCTGCTCTAACTGCATCCCATCATATCTCATTGATCTTCACACCAGTCCTATGATCAGGTACTATTATTAACTCCATTTTAAAGATGTGAGGAACTGAGGCTTACCGAAGGTAAGTAACTTGCAGGTGTAGGTATCCAGCTTCCTAACTCCAGAGCCCTTGCTCTTAAATCCCTACCACTTGTCCCTGGAGGAAGTGAACACTGAAGATGTTTTATGAACACATGAATAAAATATTTGTGTCGTTTTGAAACTTGTCTTATTTTATACATGTATTTATTTATTGGGGTGGCACAAGGACTCATCTGTGGTGGTGCAGCCACTGTAAATAAATTAGTGAAACTACATCACATCAATTTCACATAAAGTTTTCTGTTCAGTACACTTTAGCGATTTGTTTGGAGGAAATTAATACATGTTTACAAAAAGTCCCGCCCCCAGTTGTTACACATGCCTGAGATACCAGCTGTGAAAGGTTCTGGTGCATTTACACACACACACACACACACACACACACACACACAAACATCCCACAAAAGGTATCGTACAACCAACATACCCTGCAACATGCTTTGTCCACCTAATAGTATATCATGGATACAAAACTTGTTTCACTGGAAGTCTAAGAGGCAAAGTCTGGGGAGGCCTAGAGGACACAGGGGATGGGAGGAGGCGCTCTGAGCTGGAGATAAGGTCTCCGCCCCCCCGCCAGAGCACAAGGTCGGATAACCAAGTGGGACTGCTGGCTTGGTGGCCAGCGCTCTGGAGGAAGTGTGCGGCTGGGAAGCTCCGGGCTCTCGCCTGGGTTTCCCATTTCCCCCTTCCCCCGCTAGGCGAGGAAAGTTAGCCCAGAAATCTGCCCCCGCCTGAAACCCGCCTGGTCCCCGCTCCCGCCCCAGGAACGTACCCCGCCCAGGGGGCCGGAATCGAGAGCTTGGGATGGAGAAGTGGACGCACGCGGTTAGGTTCCGGGGCGCGGGCACCGCCTCGCAGCGCCCTCTGCCGGCGACTCTGGGGACGGCCCGCATCTGTCTGTGTGTGCTTCCACCAGGAGAGATTTATTCTGCTAATCCTGTGCATCTGCGCGGAGCTCCTAGGACCATAGATTGGTGTGCAAATGAAGTGAAGATGTAGTCTGGGTGCCCAAGGGCGTGCGCCTTGAGTGTGGTTGTCTGTGTACCTCCCTGAGGATATTTTACTTTCTGCTCTCATCTGCCCCTATGAGCACAGGATGTATCTCCGCACATATTTGAGTGTTATTAGAGGTAAAATGCAGTTTTATCATCTCCCCAGGGTTGTGTTTGTATGAATGTGCATGGGTGTGTGTATGTGCGCGCGTGTGTGTGCACACTCGAGGAATGGGGGAAGAGGTGCATGGAGCCAAGATAGGTGGTAAATAGTATGTTTCTGAAATTAAAGGAATAATGTGAAGAAAGGTGCTCCAGATGTATTAAACCCTTTGCCCTTCATCTCATCCCCTCTGACTTGGGAAGAACCAGGATTTTGCTTTTAAGCCCTGGGGCATACAGTTGCTCCATCCTGACATGAACTCCTCCTCCTATCTGACTCCTCATTGGCCTTCCTTCTTCCCTGATCTGTGGAACCCAGGCAGGCTGCCTAGTGCTGTCTCTAAGCACCTTGGCCATGATGTAAACCCAAATGAGTATCCCCATCTCCTTCCCTTTTCCCCCGCCCAAAAGTCATTTCCTCTTATTTCATTACTTAGTTTTGATGTCTACTTTCCCTCATCATTATTAATGCACAGAGAGAGAGAGAGAGAGAGAGAAAAGGAACTTCTTGAAATTTTCCCAAAAGGTTTTGAGAGTTGTGTTCAATGTTGCAATTTGGCAAGTCAGTTTCCATCCGAAAGCTTGGAGGGAGCAGAGTATATAAGCTCCAGTAGAAGCAACAGCAGCAGAAGAAACAACATCTATTTCAGGGCCATTGGAGTCTGCATCCTACCCAGAGCGAGGTAAGTTCTTCCCAAGCCCCTGCCTCCCTTCCCTCTGTGTGGGCCTGCAGCTGTCCAGGTGTAGAAACCATTAGTGTGCTACCCTTGCACCTGGCAGCATGGAGTCAGTGGATTGCTGGAAGCACCCCTGGTGAGTCACCTGCTGGAATTTTGTGAAAACTCAGTACTTTGGGGACTGACGTACAGTGTTCATTTTAAAAGCCAACTAATAATAATTGTATAGCAAGATTTGTGAGCATATGCATATTTTATGGAAAGGTTTATCTTATTTTGAAATGGTATATAGTGATGTATACAAGTATATTCCTAAATATTAATTCCCATCAGTTAAAGGATTGTACAGAGCTAAAGTGAGTGATGCCTGCCTTACTGTTGAAATTTAAAGCCTTTCATGTATTCTTTAGAGTAACTGAATTCACAATTATACCTTATAACAATGTTACAAATCAGACTTGCTCCCGTATTTGTGATGGTCTTGGTTGTCAGTTGTGATATAAAACAAATTGATAACTGTGTTCCCCATTCTTGTGGATTAACTTTGGCCCATTTAAAAAATGAAAAGCTCTTATTACTTCCTGAAGAGTTTTTAAATCTGTGAGAAGGGGAAAAAAAAAGATAACCTTTACTGTACCGGTATCTGGTACTTGCCCAGGTAAAATTGTGTGCAACAACATGGCCAGGTTAAATGTCATTTTAACAAAGGGATTACTAAACCCCAGGTGATGACCCACTTTTCAAAACAAGGAATTTCAAGATACTAGAGGGAATGTGGGTAACCTCTTAGAGTTAATTTTACTGGAATCTGAAATTGTATGATTTCTGTATGTTTCCTCATTCTACTGATAAGTCATGGAATCCCTCTGTGCTGGACTCTGGGGATAAAGTACGAAACAAGATAAACATGATCCGTGGCATGAGAGAGTTCACTCAGTGTGGTGGAGAAGACAAACAGTAAAGAAGTAACTGCAGTGTTGCCATTGCAGTAATGCTGTGGAAGGAGGGGAGCAAATGGTGGGTCCTGACTTCATCCAGGCACCATGATACTTTATGTGAATTATGTCACTAACTCCTTACCACAGTAGCATGCCCATTTTACAGATCAAGGGTGTGAAGCTTAAAGAGGCCAAGTGACTCACCCAGGGTCACACAGCTAATTCGTGAAATAGCTGGGATGATGTTTCTAGAAGTCGGCCTGGCCCTCAAACTGGGCCTCTTTGCATATGCCACCCATGGCATCAGTGACTATATCTTTTTATTCTTTAATAATAACTCCCTTTTCTAATTAAAAGTAACAAAAAAAATAAAATTTGAAAAAGAGATGCCCACCCAAGTGTCATTGGCATGCAGATGTTGGCACCAGTGTTGGGAAGCCCTTAGCTTACCCCAGGAAGTAGGAGAACCTAACATAGGGTCCCTTTGTCTTCATGCAAGGGTTTGAAGAGTTTAGAAAAACTTATGAAATTACATACACAAAAATTTGTTTTAATCCTCAAGACTCTCAAATTTACCATGCTGAGGAAATGTGGGCTGAGGGCTAGAGCTCCCTAGAATCAGCTGATGGGCCAGAGAGCCAAAGGAGGTGACCCACCACCATCTCCTCTCCTGGACAGCACTTTGCGGTCTCAAATGTAGGTGATACTAAAGTGAGAGGTGTTTCTCAGAACCATGGCCAGAGTTTCCTTGACCCTGAAGTGCAGTTCACCTGAGATTGTCAAATGCATCTGAGGCACACAGAGGAATTGCTGAGCACAGCCTGTGGGAAAACCCTAGCATAAGTGGGCGTAAAGGAATCACCAGGAGATGCCAGGAATCTCTACTGTTTCCCTTCCAGTGTGCCAGCCTCTGGGTTTTACAGGCCCATGTAATTATAGTACCTCTGTGGGCATTTCCCTCCAGCCTGGAATGACTTTTTGACTATCCATGGTTTATAAAACACAGAGATATAAAATTGTTCCCTTACCTCTTTCTTTAGGTTCAAGCTAATATGTTATTGCTTGCCTTCTATAATGTTATCTTGTTGCCTTTCCCAACAAACCTCTGAGATAAGTATTACGTCCATTTTATAGATGAAGAGACTGGGGCTCAGAGAATGACTTGGCCAACATTACACAGCAAATGAGTGGTGGGACCAAAATCCAAGCTATGTCTGTTTAACTTCAAGCCTGTGACTGTACTAACCAGTGCTCTGTGCCAGCTAGTACTTTGCCACAGTCATAACCTAGACTCAAGAGATAACCACGCCCCTAAAACCCCATGCTGTGGTGACAGCACTGAGCAGTATGCAAGAAGGCTTGACTTCTAGTCCTGTTTCTGCCACTCACAAATTTATAATAAGGGAATGAGGTACACAGCAAGGTCCCCCTAGGGTTAGCAGCAGTTCTGACAAAGCTGTGATTTGTCAATATTCAGTCACCCAACCCAGGAATGCTCACTTTTAAGGTATTTGACTGAAACAGTTGAGCATTGCCCTTCATAAAACAGTAGTTTCGGAACGCATGTTATCCTCCAGACCATGGGTGTTCTGCAAGGTGAATGGAGCTGTTTCAGAATGTTTCAATAATCATCTCTACCTCATTCGTAAGTGGCATGTAATTTTTGCAATATGAAGATTTTCGCAAACCCTGGATAATAACCTAGAATGGTTTCTATATCAGATGGTGGCTGATTTAGCACAAAATTATGCATTTCATTATTTCATGGTGGATATATCAATATATTATGGTCTTTTCCCAATGAGCACCTTGATTTTCAGGGGTTCTAGACCCTGAACATGGGGTAAACCACTGGTTCTCAAGGTGTGGTCCCAATACCAGCAGCATCTTCTTCACCTGGAAACTTTCTAGAAATGCCTATTGTCAGGCCCTCAGCCCTGCTGAAACAGTCTCTCTGGGGGCGAGACTTAGCCGTCTGTTGTAGCAATGCTTCCAGGCTATCCTGACAGTCACTCAAATTTTAGAACCACTAGGTTCTCTATGTGGGAGAGAGTAATGTTTAAACTTGGAAAAATTGTCATCTAAACAAGAGAAGCTGAACGCCTACAGCAAGGACTGGCGACCAGGTTGTTGCCAGACCTTGAAGGTTCACCTCTGTATCACCTTTCCTGTCCCTAACCCAAGTCCTTCAGCTCTGAGTTTCCCAGCACACACTGCCTTGTGCTGCAGTGATACACATGTGTGGCTTATCTCCCCAGCTGGAGGGGAGATATTTAACACACTGACTTCATAAATATTCATTGAGTAAAAGTATTTGCTCCTAGGAAGCGGAATCCAGGTAAGCCCTTTTTTCTCTCTCTCAACTGCTTCTAGCCCAGTGTTCTTTATGCAGTAAGCATTAAGTAAACAACTGCTAGATGTTGATCCAGAAAGTCACATTCCTTCTCTAAGTTTTAGGTTTCTTATCTTAAAAATAAGAGGATTGTATCAGACAGTTTGCCTTAGGTCTCTTTCAGCTCCAGAGCCCCAGATAGCCTGTGGTTCTCTATTTGGAGATGTTCTTCCCGAGAGACTGTCACAGAACTCCTGTGATTTGCTTAGTATTTGCTTGACAGTATGGAGAAGAAAGGGGAGAATCAAGATTTTATTTTAAAAAAAATAGCTAATATGCGTATATGGTTCACAAAGCTAACAAGAATTATTAACATTTTTTCTTCTCTTTTTCCTTCCTCTTCCTTCTCTTTTCCCCTTCTCTTCCCCCTGCTTCTCTCCCTTCTTATAGATGTGCCACCAGCGGTTTTTCATCTCTTGGTTTTCCCTGGTTTTGCTAGCATCTCCCCTCGTGGCCATATGGGAACTGAAGAAAGATGGTAACCACCCTCTCATTCTTCTCTCTGGAGGCCCCACTTCTAAGCTAGGACTCTTGGGCAGCCACTGGTGGGAAATCAAACTGAAATGGGCAACCATGCACTGGGTCCTCCTAGAGAAAGCCATCACTCTGGGAAAATGCAATGCCATATCTCCTTCTTCTAACTTGATAGTATCTATATTATTTGGTTTTCACCTTGGATGCCACTGGTACACTATGATGGGAAAAGAGATATGAAATTTTCCAGTATTACTAAAAACCAGCTGTTTCACACAATTAAAATTCCAAAGTGGAGGATTTGCAAAGTAGAACAACTGTGTTCATTTCTCATTCTACCACATGATACTGCTCCCTCAGTTGGCACTGTGATGACTTATCTCTGACCAGTCACTTTGGAAGAAGCACAGGATTCAGACTCACATTGACTTGGGTTCAAATCCTAGGTCTGTCAATTACTGGTTATGTGACTTTGAGCTAGGCCACCTCTGATCCTGAATTTCCTCAACTGTAAACTGGCTATTACAAAGTAGACACCTACTACATGGGTTATTTAATGAGTTAATGAATGCAGAATACAACTCAACAGATAGTAAAGTGAAAGTAAATATCAGCTAGTATTACTATTTTTGTTGTTTAAAATAATATCTCTCATGATTCCAGAGATACTATTTATTACCCCAATGATCAATAAAAATTATTACACTTATAGAATAGTTAACGGTAAAATAAGGGGTTCTGCCTATCCTTCTAGTATCTCACACTCAGTAAATGTGCATTCTGATTGTTGGCTGCACCTGAAAGACCCTCAGATGTTTCTCCCTGAAGCCAACATCATAATGTTTGCAAATACTGTCTTTAGTTGTATAATAATAATAATGTTTATTAAGTGCAGTATCTCGCTTAATTCTCACAAGAACCATATGAAATAGAGACCATCTTTATCCCATTTTACAGTTGTTAGAAACTGAGGCTAGAGAAATTAAGTAACTTGCCCAATGTCACATACCTGGTAAGGGTGGAACATGGACTTGATCCCAATTCTGTCTCATTTCAAAGCCGGTGCACTTAAGTTTGTGAAAAAGTTTTTACAGGGACATGAAGTAATTTTTTCCTGGGTCTTTGTAGAGCTGAATAAGAGGAAATGGGCATAAATTAAGGATGAAAATATTTCAGCTGATGATCAGAAATAATCTTTTGATATTCTGGAGAGTACAGTCTTGAAATGGGTACCTGAAAGAAATGTGGGACCACTTCTCTCTTCTCAAGAATTTTGGGAAGACAGCAATCCAGCCACCCCTTCTCCATGAGGGTTTGAGAGGTTTTAACACTCTCTTAAGTAAAAGCAAAGGCGTGAGCCAGGGAAATATGCCAGATCCCTTCCAACCCTGGGATTTTTGGTGAGCTCAGGAACCTTGGCCCTGACATATTTAACCCCTTAGTGACTTCTGATTTGGTAAGCCACAGAAATTCCAGAAAATCAATGTGAGAAATGCTCCGAGGTGTGACTTAGGAGGGCAGACAATGCAGGGAGGCTAAGCACCAGGTTCCTGATGCTCTTCTTCAGCCTTCTTCCTGCAGCTGTTTTCCCTGCTACTGAGCAAACGTCTTCCAGGGCTTCCGAGTCTCAGCTGGGACAGGAAAGTAACTATGCTGTTCAGGTGTCATGGGGAGAAGAAAAACTAGAAAAAGCCAAAGGTGCCACATGGTTTTATGTCAGCACAGCTAATCATTTCCCCAGAGTTGGACCTCAAACGCTTTTGACCTCTTATTTTTGTTACCCATTCAGTCCTTATAATCCAATTGATGTAAAGTGAAAACTTTATATTCTACGATGCTTTACATCCAGAGGCCAAAAACAAGAACCACCATATACAAAGCATGTAAGGGCACTGTGTTAAGCTCTTATGTGAATGAGCTTATGTAATCCACATATTGACCTTCTAAAGCAAGGGCTAATAGGCTTTTTCATTTTAAAGATGATGACACTGAGGCTTAGAGTAGCTGAATGTCTTGCCAAAGGTCACAAGACTGGAGTAAGGGCTAGAGCTGATTCTAAATCCAGACCTCTGCCACTCCAAAATCCAGGTTCTTAACCACTGTGGCTCATAAACGTAAGCAGGCATCAAAACCATCTGGAGAGCTTAAAAACCATACTACTAAACCCATCCTAAGGTTTCTGATTCAGCAGCTGAGAATCTGCATTTCTGACTGATCCCCAGGTGATGCTGCTGATGGTGTTTCATTGATCATGCTTTGGGAACTACTACATTAAGCAATTCTATTCAACTAATAATTTATACATGGATAAAAAAATGAATGAATATTTGCTATGACACTCTGAAATACTATACTAAGCCATTCTTCAAAGGCCAGTTTAGACACTGGGATTAGGCATCCCCTGCAAAGCCCAAGAGACAGAAGGTCGGAGCTGTAGCTCTTGCACTTCTGACTTGATGTGACCATGCTTAGACCCTTGACCTCATAAAATGGGAAGATTAAGATCTATTGGACTGCTTCCTAAGAGTGTATGACAGGTAAAAAAAAAAAAAAAAAACAAATACAGAGAGAATGAACATTTCCATTGGTAATTTGAAACAGAGGGAACTAAATCCTTAAATATCCATGGAAAATTCTTAAGAGAGTTTCTCTATACAGTTGGCTGACTCTTCAGTCTATAAATAACAATAATTAATGCAGAATTTACTGTGTGGCAGACACTGTGCTAAGTACTTTACATACTTTTTTTCATTTAATCCTCCATCAAACGTATGGCGGATACTGTTATTATCATAATTTTACAGATGAGGAAGCTGAGGCTCACGATAATTAAGTACCTTGTTCCAAATCCCCCAGCTGGTTAGTGGAGACTGGATTTCAGTCCTGGTTAGTCATTTTTGACACCCTGCACTTTTAACCACTAAGTGATTCTGCTAAATATTGTACCCTGCTGTATTCTCTATGAAACTGAAATTGTGCTGAAAGTTTCTCTTCCCCAGACCTTTGGCAAGAGTCTTGTGCTGTTTGCAGTTTTTGGTGTGTTAAGATGTTTCCATCTGTTAAATAATCAAAGGTTATTAAAGGTGGCCTTCCAATCAATGAATCAATGGCTTTGTTTCTCTTTTCCATGACCTTGAGCCCAAGCAGGGTCTAATGCCCTGAGATCATCTCAGCAAACATTTGCCAAACACTTATTATGAACAAGGTTGTGTTTAGGCAGTGGGAATGCCCAAAGGGTTAATAAAACACAGTCCCAGAGTTCCTGGAGCTTACAGCCTGATTCTCTACTTTCTGTGCATTCCAGTTTATGTCATAGAATTGGATTGGTACCTGGATGCCCCTGGAGAAATGGTGGTTCTCACCTGTGACACCCCTGAAGAAGACGGTATCACCTGGACCTTGGACGAGAGCAATGAGGTCTTAGGCTCTGGAAAAAAACTGATCATCCAAGTCAAAGAGTTTGGAGATGCAGGCCAGTATACCTGTCACAAAGGAGGCGAGGCTCTGAACCATTTGCTTCTGCTGCTTCACAAAAAGGAAGATGGAGTTTGGTCCACTGATATTTTAAAGGACCAGAAAGGTAATTCTATGCCCTCAGATAGTATCAATTTTTTCTTTTGCTCATAAGAGTTAAAGAAAAAAAAAAAGATATTGGAAAGGCAAGTGACGATAAGTGTAGTTAATGAGTTAACACAAGTCTCTTATTGAAACCACCACAACCTCCATTTTCCTTTGCTTTCCTGGACCCTTTGGGTGATCAACCATCAAAATCTTATATTAGGAGAGTTTCATGGTCAGTCTGAATGCTTAGCCTGATGTTTTCTTTAAATAACAGTGATATTATTTAACGGCTAATGGAAATTAACTAATAGTGCATCACTCTGCACTGGGGTGATAGCCTTGGAAAAATGAATGCCTCTATCAGGTGTGTTAGGTGTGTAGTATACTCTGCAGAATCAGCATCCTACTGGGACCCTCCCAATCCTTACGGAGCTACCCAACAGGGAACACATGGAAGACTTTCACCCTGTACCATCTGGCAACCTGTGATTCATCACAATCAAAAGCTTTCTGAAAAAACTCTAAATATTGAATTTTTGTTCAAATCCAGAACCCAAAAATAAGACCTTTCTAAGATGCAAGGCCAAGAATTATTCTGGACGTTTCACCTGCTGGTGGCTGACGACAATCAGTACTGATTTGACATTCAGTGTCAAAAGCAGCAGAGGGTGAGTGAAACTGCTTTGGTTTCTCAGAATTTTGCTAGAATTATTCTCAGTGACCTGTCGGTTAATGATAAGGGGAAAAGCAAAGTTAAACCCATATTTTTCCAACCACCCTTTCTTGTCTACATTGAAGAAAGAACATGGAGATTTAGGCCAATCGTTTGAATAAATATATGTGTTAGGGCAGGATGTTACTGGAAGCTGAGAATAGTTTCGCTATGTTTGAACCCACTCATCCAAATTGCCTGGCCATGCTTCCTAAAGGCTCATCGCCCCAGAGAAAGGGATAAAAGGAGAATTCAAAGCTACAAATGACTTGCTGAAATTGTATCTTGAGTCAAAAATAAAAACAAGAGCTCCAGACTCCAACACTCTATGAGGCCTCCCAAAATTTTCCAGGGCCACCTCAACTCCTTTTACTTCTGCTGACACCACTAATCTGAAGTTCCCTGTTGGTCCAATGCACTTGGACTTTCCCTAAGAAAGCAATTTCCATAAATACAAGACCTATATGTTAGCCCCCATGTGACATACTTTAATCATCACCTAAGTTCCTGAGCAATGTGGCATAATGGAGCAAACCCCAGGCATCCTGTCTTTACCATTATTTCACTGAGTAAATTAAGCACTGGGGTCTCACTTTCCCATCTTTAAAAGGAAAATGCTTACTAAAGAAATGTTTCTCCAAGTGCGTAAAGACATAGATGCACATGTTCACTGTGATTATTTTGGTAATCAGTAGAGGAATGGTTAAATAAAACATGGTACACACTACTCTAGCTTAATGTGCAGTCATTGAAATGGATAACCCAACCTATATGTTTTGCCACAGAGAGCTCCCCATAATATGTTCAGAGGGGAAAAAGATGGTTACATAATCATATGTATATAATTTGATCCTAGTTCATAAAAATAAAATCTATAGTATATTTATAGGTAAAATATATAGTGGATATATATATATATAACATGAAGATATACAATATGGATAATAATATATACAATGTGTATTGTATATATAATGTGGATATACTGTTATCTTGAATATTCATCAGAAAAGTTCTGGCCAGGCAAAGTGGCTCACACCTGTAATCTCAGCTTTTTGGGAGGCTGAGGCAGAATTATTGCTTCAGGCCAAGAGTTCAAGACCAGCCTAGGCAACATAGTGAGACCCCCATCTCAACAAACATTAAAAATAAAAAAATTAGGTAAGTGTAGTGGCACACACCTGTAGTCCCAGCTACTTGGGAGGCAGAGGGAGGGGATCACTTGAGCCTAGGAGTTCGAGGGTACAGTGAGGTCTGATCCCACCACTGTATTCCAGCCTGGGTGACAGAGCAAGACCCTGTCTCTTAAAAAAACAAGAGTGAGAGAGAAAGAAAAAGAAAAAGGAAGGTCTGGAAAGACACAACAATCTCCCCATCCTTAACTGGGAAGAGCAGTTAAGGATGAAGGAGACACACTTCTTTCCTTTATATGCATCTTTATCATTTTTACTTTTATAATTAGTGTGTATTGATTTTATAATTAAAATTATTTTAAAAATAAGTTTAAGTTTTTAACAAGGGAGTTTAATAATCAGGGACTCTAGGCCTAAAAAAAAAAAAAAAAAAAAACTTCCATATTCATTTAGTCCAGAGACATATAAGTGCTCTTGAAGCTAAGCTCTTTCTCCTGGGGAGGGTGGTTTCTTACCTTCTGGGTAGAAATCAGCCCAGTTGGAGAAACTGTGTCCTCAGACAGACAGCTGAGGCCTTACCTGCCTCACTGGCTAAAACCACTAGGAAACCTCTCCCCAGTGTATAACACAGGCTAATTTCTGTCTTTGACTTCAGCTCTTCTGACCCCAGAGGGGTGATGTGCGGAGCACCTATGCTCTCTGCAGAGAGGGTCAGAGGGGACAGCAAGGAGTATGAGTACTCGGTGGAGTGTCAGGAGGACAGTGCCTGCCCAGCCGCTGAGGAGAGGCTGCCCATTGAGGTCATGGTGGATGCCGTTCACAAGCTCAAGTATGAAAACTACACCAGCAGCTTCTTCATCAGGGACATCAGTGAGTGTTGGACAATTATATGTGCTCCGTAAAGAAAGATACCATTTGTCACATGTTCACAATGCCCCATGCACTGGGGTAGGTGGTTGACAAGCATTATCTCTTTTATTCTGCATCCAAAAAAATATATATATGATGTAGATACTATTATCTGCATTTTAAGGAGGAGGAATTGGGTCTTATAAAAGTTAAGCAACTTGCCCCAGATCTCGGATCTTACAGCTAACAGTTCAAATCCGGATCTGCTCCACTAGAAGAGGCAGGCTCTTTGCTGCACTTCTATTTGGCTGCCACACAGTTTCCATGATGAATCCCAGAGCTCCTGAAGCATAATATTCATGTTTAGAACCAGGGCATCCCTACTAATGGCAATTATTCCCAACAAATCTTTCCTTAGCATTTGAAAAGGGACTTCTTTCTCAGAATATAAAGCCCTCCAAAATGGACACCATTTTTTTTTAATTGGCTGATGGGGATTTCACCATAAGTCATTTCCTTTGCTATTTATTCATTAACCAGGCAGCATGATAAAGTCTAATAAAACCAGCTTCAAAACTTATGGGGGGTTTGTACTTGGTGGGTAGGGTCTAGTTCACATAGGGTAGCCAAGGAAGGCCTCTCTGAGGAGGTGACATTTAGCTGACACCAAAAGGAAAGATGTCAGTTGTGTTAAAAACAGAGGAAAGCATATTTACGAAGCACCTGCTAGGAACCGTGATCTTTGCATGGAGCAGTGCCAGGCTTGCAGAGCCCAACCACACCCCGTAGCATGTCTCCCCCTCCCCTTATCTAGAACACCTAATTGAGGAAGGAGTCTTTGTGAAACTCGCTGCTGTATCCTTCAGGCATAATGGGTGCTCAGTATTTATGGAATAAACAAGCAAATTGAATATAGAGACAATTGACTATAACTGCTCCAAGACATGCCAGCACCAAAAGCTATGAAAGACAAAAGAAACGGCAGTGAATAGAAAATCTATTATCTCATCCTCAGGGAGAGGCTCAGCTCAGTTCCATGTTCTGTGCAGAGTGAGGAGGGATTCAGCACAGAGAGGGTGGTCCTTCAATGCATGGCTCATAACCATTAAAGCAGAGGTTGTCTCATCTGACTTTTCAGTGATGAGGATTCTGAGCATCTCTCAGATCCTGCAATAAATGTGGATCTGAGATGTGGCCATTGATAACAACGGCCTTCCCGAGGCACCCGCATGAGCACCTGCAGCAGAGGTGCCTCACATTTGCCAGCCAGGTGCTTACAGAACTTAGTAACTATCCAGTGGACTCACAGCTGGTCAAAGGTGCGAGTGGGATGGGAAGCCAAACCACTGAACTCCGAAGTCTTATTCGGAGAATAAAGGGTGTTTATCCTCTTCCACAGTCAAACCTGACCCACCCAAGAACTTGCAGCTGAAGCCATTAAAGAATTCTCGGCAAGTGGAGGTCAGCTGGGAGTACCCTGACACGTGGAGTACTCCACATTCCTACTTCTCCCTGACATTCTGCGTTCAGGTCCAGGGAAAGAGCAAGAGAGAAAAGGTAAGAAGTGATTCAGGGACAGTATATTTCTTGGTCAGATTTATGGAGGCCCGCCATAAAGTGAGAAGATGAATGATGATAATAACAACTACATCGATGTATCACTTAAAATACTAAGAAATTTGTCGTTATGCAGTTCCATCACTGTGCAAACATATAAGATGTACCTACACAAACCTAGATGGTATATAGCCTACTACACATCTAGGCTTTATGGTATAGACTATTGCTCCTAGGCTGCAAATCTGTATGGCATGCTCTTGTACTGAATGCTATAGGGAATGATAGCATAATAGTTTGTATATCTAAACAGAAAAGATAGAGCAAAAATATAATATTATAACAACATAGGGCCACTGGTCATATATGTGATCCTTCTTTGACTGAAATGTTATTATGTGATGCATAACTACTTTTTTTAGCACTTTTCTATTTGACTGGAACTGTGCCAAGGGTTTTCCATGTTTATTTCACTTAACCTACAAAATTAACTCAACAAAGGCAGCTGGTATTATTCTGGTTTTTTAAACTCCCTTTTTTGTGGAAAAGAGGTTTTCCTTTTTTCCAGAAACTGTGCCAAGGTAAAGCAAAGCTGTAGCTGATGCAGGAATTTTGTGTCGGTGCCAGCAGCTCTGCCCTCACTACGTGCTCACTGGGCAGTAGCCTAGCCCCAAGAAACGGATGGTGGGTAGCCAGTAGTATTATAATCATTTCATAAGTGATTGAAGACTCAGGGAGGTTAAGTGACTTTCCCAAGGTCACCCAGCTAGGAAATGACAAAACCAGGATACAAACTCCACCTGCTGGATAGTTAGCCCACGCACCTAACCAGCCTATCACCTCTGGTCTGGTTGGTCATTGATCTTGGCACTCAGAATTCATCCTGATATAGGAAACCTGGGCTCAAGAAACCTAAAATTGTTGTTTCAACTGAGTGCATGTAACAAATGATAGAACATGCAAGAGATATTGCCCAAAAAATGGGTAGCTCCTGGCTGTTCCAGATATTAAAATTATTTTATTAAACAGGATGTCTACACTTATAGAGACTAAGACAATGGCTTTCCCGCTTCCTTGCCTTCCAAAATGGGTGTCCATTTTGGAGGGGTTTATAGTCTAAGAAAGAAGTCCCTTTTCAAATGCTAAGGAAAGATTGGTTGGGAATAATTGCCATCAAGGAATTATTTTGCCTATTGCAAGGTTCTAGAGGCCCTTTTGTACACATTTCTTTGTCTCCTTTGACCCCACTTTTAAAATCACTGGCAAAGCCTTAACTTAGCATAGCATTTAGCATGTAGTAGAAATTCAGTGAGTTAGTTACTCTCTGGGAAAAAAAAAAATAGGTGGGGAGGCTATTCTGGAATAGATATTTACCTAAATTTTATTTTACATCTTGACAAGCACTTTCCTTATTTAAGATCTGTATGATTAATAGGTGAGTGCTTCCTATATGCTAAAGACTTGCTAAGAGTTTGACGTGATTTTTACCTTCAACTTCTACAATTCTGTGAAGTAGGCATTATTGTTATCCCCACGTATAAGTAAGGAAACAGACACAGAGAACCTGAGACATTTTCCTGAAGTTACACAGCTATTAAGTCACAGTGCCAGGAATTGAAGGCAAGTTTTCTGATGAAAGGATCAGGATATGGTATTTCTGAATATCTCAGGGACAGCTGGAGCAAATCTATCTCTCTCTAACCATCAGCTCAGGACTGGGTGACTGGCCATAGGTACTTGAGGCAGTTAAGGCAACTGTGCTAGAAAGATGAAAGCTGGGCCAAATGATTTCTCCCTCAAAGGCTTACAAAGTACAAAAGCTGCACGTGTATTTGGAGTGTCTGCCAGTAGGTGGTGCAAGTTCTGCACACTCCCTTGTGAATTGCAAGCATAGTGCCCTAAGACCAAGATGGGCTTGTTTTGGGAGATTATGCATTGCAGAAATAGGCTCGGCTTACCTTGTGACTGTGTTGCCAAGGGGCCTTCAAAGCTTTCCTTCTCTTTTGCAGAAAGACAGAGTCTGTGTGGACAAGACCTCAGCCACGGTCATCTGCCGCAAAAATGCCAGCATTAGCGTGCAGGCCCAGGACCGCTACTATAGCTCATCTTGGAGCGAATGGGCATCTGTGCCCTGCAGTTAGGTGAGCAGGCCCTCAAAGCCCAGCCCAGACCTCCATGCTTAGTGCACCTGGGTGCAGGGATATGATTGGGGGCTGTGCTGGGGAGGAAAGGGGGATGGGGTGGCCGGCAGCCAGTTGCCAGAATCAGAAACATATTTATTTATGAACAGATATTTATTTGGTGCCTGTGTTATGTAGGACACTGTGCTGGCCACAGGGATATTGCAGGAAAGAAAACAGACCTGGGTTCTGCCTTCCTAAATAGGAAGGCAAAGAAGAGAGAGGTAGCCAGGAGGCAGAGCATGGAGGACTTGCAAGCTTGCAGGACTAAGAACGTTGTTCTGAGGGCCCTGGGCCCTGAAACCCACTGGATTTTCAGCAAGGAATTAATACAATCAGATATTCTTTAAAGAAAACTCTCAAGAAAGCCTCTGGCCTTAAATTCCAGGCCACATAAGGAAGACCTGGGCCTTCTGGCATGAAATCCCCAAAACCCAACTGCCCAAGATAATGTGTTAAGAGAAATAAGAAGAGTTTGCTGTTGCAATGTCCACCCCATATAGATTTTTGGCATTCTTTTCCAGGTTCCAATCCCAGGAAGAAAATTTGAAGGAAAACTGGAAGATATTAAGCAATATGTTTAAAGACAGAATGGAATTGACCCAAAAAGATATTTTCTGTCTGATTTGCTTAAAAAAACTTTTTTAGGGTCACAATGATATCTTTGCTGTATTTGTATAACTAGATGCTAAATACCCATTGAAACAATCAGCTAATTTATGTATAGATTTTCCAGCTCTCAAATTGTCATGGACCTTCATGCTATTTAAATATTTAAGTAATTTATGTATTTATTAATTTGTTACTGTGATTTAACATTTGTGTGCCAGGACGTATTCAATGTTTCATACTCTCATGACCTGATCCATCAGGGTCAGTCCCTATTATGCAAAATTTGAATTTAATTGTATTTATACTGACAACTTTTCAAGCAAGGCTGCAAGTACATCTGTTTTATGACAATCGGGAAGAACACAGTGTCCTGATACCAGTGCCATCATATATTAGTGATGGATGGGAACACAAGAGATACTTAAATAGAAACCTGACGATGCAAACCTGTTGAGAAGATCCTGGAGAAGAAGATGCTGGGATGCTAGTTCTCATGTCTGTGAAGACTTCCTGGAGGTGGTGGTGATAAAGCAATTTAGGGCCACTTGCACTTCTAAGCAAGTTTAATCTTTGGATGCCCGAATTTTGAAAGGGCTAAAAAAAAGGCTGGGAAACATAGCAAGACCCCCGTCCCTACAAAAAATTTAAAAATTATGCAGGCATGGTGGCTCATGCTTGTGGTCCCAGCTATTCAGGAGGATGAGGCAGGAGGATCACGTGAGCCCAGGGTGTCAAGGCTATCATGAGCCCTGATTGCATCACTGCACTCCAGCCTATGTGACAAAATGATACCCAGTCTGGGAAAAAAAAAAAAAAAAAGATTGAAATTAAAACTCAGCTTTCAATGGCAGTCCTTACCCCCACCTCTCTACAATACACATGAGGATGACACAAAAACACGTTAAGTGTCTGGAAGGCAAAACGATTTTAAGATTCAAGAGAGAGGACAAGTAGTTATGGCTAAGGACATAAAATCAGCAGAATTGCAGGTGGCTTCTTAACAGCCATGTGAGAAGCAGACAGATGCAGAGAAAATCTGGAATCCCTTTCTCATTAGTATGAGCGAAGCTGATATGCAGTTATGACCAGAAAGTATTACTCCATGAAGTTGCTATTTTAAGTAACGTATGTGCTTTCTGTAAAGTGATTATGTCTGTTTTCTGTTTATTTATTTATTTATTTTTGCATTCTGAGGCTGAACTAGTAAAAACTCTTCTTTGTAATCATAATTTGGGCTTTCTCAGCTGATTTGTGTATTCTGCTTGCAAGTCTACTAGGGGTGCATTTTTCCCCTATCATTTAAGAATTGCCCTTTCTTGGAGTGATCCCATTCTAAATTTTGCAGAGTTGCTCTTTCCCCTTATAGTATTTCCAAAGTCAGTGTCTTTCTGAACTCAGGGGATGTCCCTATAATCTGACCAGGAAGGATCCTTTGTAAGGGCACCAAACTGCATTGTGCCTTCTTTACAGGTGGATGCTCTCACTTCTTCCACCCTTTGTCCTGAAATCGACTACTAGTTTCCCCAGAATCATAAAATAAAACTCTAACCTGGTACAGCCACGGACATCTCAGCTCTTAGGTCCAGCTCTAGTATTTACTGAGGGTTTGCAATACATATGGACCTCTGCTAGCCCTTGGGGTTGGGAAGTTTCAAAAAGCCTTGCATTGCATCTCCCAAACAGTGCGCACTCCTGACACTGCTTATGAGACAAGGATGAAAAGTTAACTTCACTACCATTAAACGCTAAAATGTCCAGGATATATGGTATCCTGGGGTGAGAATAAAAGAGAAGGATCTGTGTAACCCAGAACCACACAGGAAGACTTATCAGAGAAGAGGGGGTGCCAGCACCCTTGGTGCTTCCCATGGAATGAGCAAATGATGGGATCCAAGGGGATGCAGTCAAATTTCCTGCTATCCCCAAAATCCAAGTGTGCACATTCAGGCTTCCTTGCCATGGGAGGGTAATTATAATAGGAGTGTTTGTTTGCTTTCTTGATTTCAAGTATCCCCTGGAGCCTTATGCCACTCTGCTCCTGGCCTGGAGAAATGGTGGATCACTTCCATCATTCTACTCCAACCTTTGGAGCATATGGTCCTGTGTTATAAGCCCACACTTGATAGCACATGGTTGTTAATAACAAGTGTTTGTCCCCCTATAGGGTCTTTCATCTAGCGTTACCAAAGTACTTAATGGACATTTAATGAACAACACTAACCAGATTTTTAAAAAATAAATAAATAATCACATTTCGGGGCCAGGCACAATGGCTCACATCTGTAATCCCAGCACTTTGGGAGGCCGAGGCAGGCAGATCGCCTGAGGTCAGCAGTTCAAGACCAGCCTGACCAACATGGTAAAACCCCATTTCTACTAAAAATACAAAAATTAGCCTGGCATGGTGGCGGGCACCTGTAGTCCCATGGAGGCTGAGGCAAGAGAATCACTTGAATCCAGGAGGCGGAAGTTGCCGTGAGTGGAGATTGTGCCACTGTATTTCAGCCTGGGTAACAGAGCGAGACTCCGTCTCAAAATAATAATAATCACATTTCATAAACTCTGAGAACTGGGGACATTTCCCCAGATTTCAGGCTAGCCTGGGGCAGAGCTCAGATGTTCTGGCTCCCACCCTGCCCAGTGCTTTTCCAACATGACCTCTTAGCATTCGATTAATTTCAGTGCATGCAACACAAAGCTTTTCTTCTTTAAAAATATTCTCCAGGACTGTCCCTTTTATTGCACATCTAACCACTACAAAATGTATTAAATGTCTAAGCCAAAGATCTCAAGATTGGGAATCAGAGGAGCAGACTCTATGCCCAACCAGACCTGTTACATAACCATGTGGCCTTGAGCAGGTGTTAGACACAGCCTACTGGTTTTCCAATCAATACTCATTCCCAACTGTTTTCTCCCCAATGCCCTCTTCAGTGCTAAATGTTGGGAATTTAAGCGAAAACTTTTTCAGCCACTTTTGCTGCCCAGCACAGCCAAAACACCCAGTTCTTGCCAATGAGATGTAAGAAAATTCTGCTGGGAGGGTTGCTGACAGGCTTTGACTTTTCTGATGAAAGACAGAGCCATGGCTGGCATCACCCTTTCCCTCCTTCTTCCTCTCTTAAGCAGAAAAAATCTTGAGAAGCTTCGGAGGACACCTTGCACCAGCATGAAAGCCACCATGCAAAAACTCAAGCTAGAAAGACTCCAGGCCAGGTGCAGTGTCTCACGCCTGTAATCCCAGCACTTTGGGAGACTGAGATGGGCAGATCACCTGAGGGCAGGAGTTCAAGACCAGCCTGGCCAACATGGTAAAACCCCATCTCTACCAAAAAAAAAAATAAAATAAATATAAAAATTAGCTGGGCTTGGTGGCATACTGTTGTAATCCCAGCTACTCAGGAGGCTGAGGCAGGAGAATCACTTGAACCCAGAGGAGGAGGTTGCAGTGAGCCAAGATCACACAATTGCACTCCAGGCTGAGTGACAGAGTGAGACTCCAACTCAAAAGCAAAACAAAACGAAACAAGAATAAAGAAAGACTCCAGACCCTCATGGCATCATATGGAACAGCTGGACCAACCCCCGTATCTACCTACCCCAGATTTCTTGACATGTGAGAAAGACAGACCTTATTTTTTTTTATTTTGGTGAAATATTCATAACATAAAATGTAGCATTTTAACCATTTTTAGGCATACAGTTCAGGAGCATTAAATACATTCATATTGTTGTGCAACCATCACTACCACCCGTCATTAGAACAATTTAATCTTCCCTAGCTGAGACTCTGTACCCATTAAACATTACCCCCATAGTTATTTTTAAAGTAGAAAATGATTTAACCAAAAAGTAAAGACACTCTCCTAAACTTCAGACCCCCATCTATGAGACGCTGCTGACCAAATCAGAAAAAGGACCCAGGCCAGTGCAGGAAGAAATCTGGGGTTTGGTGTCAGAAAACCTGGTTCTGCCCCTCACTGCTGGCATGAGCCTGGTGAAGACATGGAGCACTTGATTTCCAACGACACCAGATGGGGCTTTGGTGATACCCTGCTTTGCTGACCTCTGTGAGGTGTAAGACATGTGAGGACATTAACCTGCAGGCCCCCCTCTGAAAAAATCTTCAAGAGTCATACCCTTAAGAGTTTGTCTTCCCTCTCCCATGTTCAAGAAGAAAGTGAAAAAACTAAGGGCCAAATGCAGCCATAGAAGCTGTCTCACTGGGTCCCTAACAACTCTGTGCAGGAGGAATTCTTATCCCATTATTACAGGTAAGGAAACAGTGGCCAAGGTCCCTGTTCCAAGGGCAGCCTGAGCATCAGCAGGACTCACCTGAAGGTGGGGAGAGGTGGAAGATCCCACAGGAAAGCACTTCTACTGTCTTTTCATTCAGTATTTTTGGAGTGCCTGGCACCATCCTCAACTTTCTGGATACAGGGGTGAATAAGACCCTGCCTTCCCATGATTTTCATCTCCAAAGGACCAAATGCTTGGAATTCTAAGCACTGGAGGTCACTTCTTAAGGATCAAGGGCACTATTAAATGAAATAAATAATTGGTTCAATGTGATGGTCACCGTGCCTGGCCCACAGGAAGCATTCAGTGAATGGCAGCTACGTCCGCTGACTAGCTGTGATCTTGAACAAGTTATTTAACATCTTTGAGCCTCAGTTTTCTCATCCTTTAAATGAAATAATAGTACCTACCTCATAGTGTGGTTGTGAGGATTAAATGAAATAATGTTCAGAAATTGCTTTAAAAGGTACCTGATCCAATAAGTAAAAGCTTATTGTAAAGTAAAAAGTAACTGATCCAATAACTAAAAGCTTATTGTTATTAGTTTTATTGTGCCACTTAGAACCTGAAAGAAGCATAATTCTGGACCTTGTGCTTTTTGCAGGGTTTAGGGTACGAAGGGTTGGTTGTTACCTGGCCTTGGTGTCTCTGAAAACCGGGTTGGCATGGAGGGATCACTAACCCGCCAATGGGGAGGAGAAAGCTGGTCCAGTCTGTTAACAGATTTAAAAGCCTCTTCGGTGTAAAATCTCTTTCTTATAAATAAAATCTCCAAAACGTCTCCATATGGGGATATCAAGATGCCATGAACACAGTTCTTGCTTTCAGGGCTTGTACAGTCTGGTGAGAAAGAGAAAAGGGAAACGGTGGTGAATACAATAAAATATAATCTGACTGGGTTAAAGGTATGTGCGCCATAAATGTTTCTTTTTACAAAGGTTTCCAGCTCTCGAGAGGAGCCCTTTCATTCCCTTTCACCCTCTCTGGATGTAATAATTTGGCATAAACCTACCAATTCACCTTACCTATAAATCAGAGTTTAATCATCTCTGTTTCATTTCAGTATAGACCTTCTTCCAGGACAGCGTTTGAGAGCAAAATGTATTTGGACAAGACTCTCCAGAGGGTCATATTATACCAAGGAAATGAATTCCCTCTCTCCAGCTCATAAAACGCAAAAATAAAATCAGCATTCTGGCTGAAGGCGGAGAAAACCAGGTGTGCATACTGAAAACTCTCCTTTTGCGGGGAGCGCTGGGCGGAGCTGATTTGCATTTACCTTCACGCAGGCCTGGGTTCCGCAGTAGGCGCAAGAGCGCCCTGGCAGGGCGCCTGCCCTCTGCGGTCATGCGCAGCTTCTCCACCCGGTGGCTGCTAGCGTGTGACAAGCTTCAGGGCCCTGCAACTGCTCACTAAGCTCCCCTGTTTCCTTTCATAAGGAGCACTAGCCATCCCCTCACCTCTACCCATCAGGCTGCTTGCAAAAGGAACTAACCCGAGCATGGAGGGTACCAAGGAACTGAATATTCTGCCAGTGGCTCTGGGGTTTGGTGAAGAGGGAAAGTCGAGGGACAAATTTTAGGTAAGCCACAGTATTCACTGAGCTTCCTCCTTCCCACGTCCGACACACAGATAGGTGTAATGAAGCTAAAATGACAGCAAGAGCAACAGCACCTGGAAGGAGTCCAGAGCACAGGGGTGTGCACTGGATCCTGAAGCAAGGAGACTGGGCTCACACCTGGACTCACCACTTACCAGCTCTGTGCTCTTAGGCAATTCCTTATCTTTTTGTGGTGTGCCCTCACCTCTAGAACAAGTATGCTAATAGTACCACCACCTCCTGTGTGCTGTGGGGGTTAAATGAGACAAGGTTCACAGGACCCAGTGCTCCATCGCCCAGGCTGGAGTGCAGCGGCACAATCATAGCTCACTGCAGCTTCTAACCTGCAGCCTCAAACTCCTGGGCTCAAGAGATTCTCCCTGCTAACCCTCCCATGATTGTTTTTCTCAGAGCAGGCCAACAAGGAGAGGCAATCCTAAAGCCCACTTCTTCTCTCCCCATGAATATGAAGGTTGACTTTGGACATGTACAGAAATCTTCTAGTCCTGATTCAGAAAGCTGTGTCCTCCCAGCCACCAGCCCTCTCCTGGGCATACAGCCAGCACACAGCAGTGACATCTCCCTGGAATCACAGCACCCAGAAAAATGCCCTACTTCAGCAAATTATTGCATGGATTTCTGCTCAACCTTGTAGAACATTCTCCAGCCATGGCTTGTCCATTTCCCCAAAATTTCTCTTTGTTGAGTGTTTGGGGTGTTTAGAGGTTAACCAGACCAATGGTCCCCCAACTTGTTTGAGCCGGGGTCCCTTTGTTCAAATGGAAATCTTAAATGCAAGTCCAAGATACACAGGAATTCGGGAGTATGGTGGCCAAAGGCGCTTTAGCTGTATCTGCAACATTCTAACTTCTTACCAGGAAAATATATTAGTATTTTTTGCATAATTAAAATAAATTTTTTATAGTCCTGTATATAAAGTAGGCAAAAGCAGAGCTGCTCTGGCTGGAGCCTCACATCCACTCTTTCTCTGTCCCCTATTCACCACTGAGAAGCCTAAGGTCTCTTCTCAACACTCCTAAATTCCGCAGAACATGATTTTATAGATGACGAAACTAAAGGACAGAGTTTGGTGACTTACCCAAACACTCAGAGCCTGATTAATGCCAGGGCTCAAACTTGAGTCTGGGTCTCCTGACTCCCATTTTGGCGGTTTCCGTTATATTGAGTCGTAATTCCCAGAAAATTGCCATTAAAATGACCAGTCTGTCACCAGACAGAGATAGCACATTAAAACATAAGAGCTCCCACAACCACTTAAATACTAATTAGCTTCTCAAAATAGTTGCCCATCTCCTTGGAACATGGTGTCTGGAACCTGACAATGATCCTGTGCTTCACTTCATGGGAGGATGGAAAAGAACTAGCAAGGGCTTGCACCCTATCAGACTAAGAAAGTCAGAATCCGGGCTGTCACTGCACTGCTATGAGTCTTAAGGCAACTTTGTGCAAAGTTTTCCCTCCTCCAGGTAGACACAGCCCCATGCCAGGGTCACGGCTTGATGAGGGGAGAGCAAGCTTGATTTCAGTATCTGCTTGCCCCCTCAACCAGGTACCTCTGTGGAGGGTACACAACCTGACCAACCATATGTGACAATTCTGGTCATGGGGAGATAAGTAGCTGCTTAGAGTAGAAGACATTGAAGGAGAGGGGGAACTTTCATCCATCCATCCATCCATCCATCCATTCATTTAATCACTCATTTAGCAAATAATTACTAAGTGTTTACTGTGCCAAACACTATGCTAGGTGCAGGAGAGAATACATGTATAAGGTGGGGAGGTTGACTGCCCTCAAGATCTTACAGCTTAGAGAGGACTGAAGACAAGGCCACAGACATTAACACAGTGTGGTGAGTGTTAGCACAGGTGAAGAAAAGGTCTCTGTGGAATTACTGATTGGGATACTTTGAGCTGCAAGAGGAACAATAAGGACAATATAAACAAGAAGTCTAAAGGTACAGTATAGCAGGATAGGTTAATTCAGCAATTTGCTAATGTCATCAAGAACCCAGACTCATTTCAATTATCTTTTTCACCGGCCCTATGTGTTGGATTTGGCCTCATACATACCCCTCAAAGTAGCTGCTGTACCTCTGAACATCATGTTCTTATATCATGGTGCATAAAGATTGGAAAGTGAGTTCTCTTCTAAGATTGCTTTTTTGTTTGTTTTTGATTTTGATTTTGGGTTTTGTTGTTGTTGTTTTGGTTTGGTTTGGTTTTTGAGACAGGATCTTGTTCTGCCAACCAGGCTGGAGTTCAATGGCACAATCATGACTCACTGCACCCTGGGATCTGGCAATCCACCTACCTCAGCTTCCCACGCAGCTGGGATCAGAGGTGTGTGCCACCATGCCTGGCTAACTTTTTAACTTTTCATGGAGATGGAGGTCCTATGTTGCTCAGGCTGGCTTCAAACTCCTAGGCTCAAGGGAACCTCCCAACTTGGCCTCCCAAAGTGCTTACACTTGGGATTACAGGCATGGACCACCATGCCTGGCTGGCCACAAATTTTTTAATCAGGAAAGACTACCTTTCCCAGAGTACCCTGGCAGACGTACCTACGTCCTAACTATAAAGGAGGCTGGGAAAGTGAGAATGTGATATTGGTACCCTCCAGAGTGCGAGTCAGGTTCTAACAGCTAGAAGGGTTTCCGTTCCAGCTGGAGATAGCCATTGGTTAGACAACCAAAGTGTCTGCTACAGAAGCACAAGGGAGGGACATGGAACCCAGATTTGAAGGTACACATCTGTGGTCTGCAAAAATAATGGTGACCTATGATGTTCATGCCCTAATCCTCAGAACCTGTGAATATGAAGAGAGTAACCTGGATTATCCAGGTGGAACCAATAAAATCACATGAGCCCTTAAAGTGAAAGAGATGCAGCAAGAGGGATGTTGACGATATTTGAAGCATGAGTAATATTCGTCATGCTACTGCTGGCTTGAATGTGGAGGGGGCCAGGTGCTATCAAGGAAATAGGACCTAAGTCCTACAACTGCAGGGAACTGATTTCTGTCAAGAACCTGAATGAGTTTGGAAGGAGGTTCTTCCCCAGAGCCTCCAGAAAGTAATGCAGCCCTGGCCTTTTGAGACCCAAAGCAGAGAACCCAGCCAAGCCCACCTGATCTCTGACTTTCAGAACTACGAGAATTATCTCACATTATAATCTGACATGTGAGATAATTTGTTGCAGCAGCAATAGAATCTAAAACAGGACACCAAAGCGGAACGTATCCATGCTGTGTCTTGAAGAATTCGGGGAATTACCAGGTAAAAGGAGCAACTTGAGCACAAGTCTAGAAGAGAGAAAGACATGTTGCATTTGGAGAACAGCAGAAAGTTTCTTCTGCTGAAGCATAGTGCGAGAGAAGGAAAGGAAGGAGAAAGTTGGAAAGTAAGGGTATGGAGATAAGTAGAAATGAAATTGGGTGATCTGCAAGGCCAAGATGGAGCTTCATCGTGATGACAACAGGGAGCTACTGAAGGGTTTTAAGAAGTGATGGGATCAGCTTTCTGTTATTTCCAGATAGCTTTAGTTGCTATATAAAAAATAGATTGGGAGGTGGCAAGAGAAAAGGCCAGATGACCAGGTAAAGGGCACAGTTGTAGCTCAGGTGGGAAACAGTGACCACTGGGACTGGGAAAATGCTGGTGGGGATGAAGATAAGAAGACCACTTTGAAGGAAATGGATGAGAGAATTGATAGAACTTATTGACTAGACACAAGTGGTGAGAGAGGAGAATCAAGGCTGATGCCCATGCATTCGTTCGGTCATTCAACACACAGTTATTAGCACCTTCCACAGTACAGGTTCCAAAGACTGAACTACACACAGTATATTGCCTCAGCTAAGAACCAACACAGTCCCTACTTACAAAGAACCTAGAGACTTCTGACTTGAGCAACTTGGTCGCTGGTGTTACCATTCACTGAGAGAGGAAGGGCAGGCTTGATCTCAGAAGGGGGAATAAAGATGATGAGTTCCACTTGATTTCTTGGACATATATATGACACAATCAATGGGGGTAGCCATTAAGACTTGAATGTATGTGTCCAGAGCCTATAAGTGAGATTTGGGCTGGAGATGAGGAGCTGGGGATCACCAGCATATATGAGAAAATGATGCTTCTATCACTCAGAAGACAATGCCTATGAGGAGATGTTTTAAGAATTGGGTCATGAGACTATTTCCTTCAAAAACTTTCACCTCCCA